ATCAAATCTGATATTGTTTTACCTTTTATTTGGTGTGTGGAAGGTGTGCGGAAGAGGGGGTAGTCTTATACGGCGAGTATATAACAAACTCTGTATTTTGAGTGGAAATGTTAGGGGGTCGTCTTATACGCCCAGTCGTCTTATACGCCGGCAAATACGGTACATATTTTTACAGATATTTTCTCCCATGCTGGTATTGTTTGCAACAGAAAAGGTTTCAGTTTTGATGAGGTCCAAGTTATCTATTTCTTTTCCTTTATTAGTCATGGTTTTTTTTTTTCATTCTATCCAAAAAGCTAAATAATTACTATTATGAAGATTTTCCTCTTACGTTCTCTTAAGTTTTATACACTTTTCACTGTTACATTTAGGTCTATAGTCTATTTAAAATTAATTTTTGTAGGTAGTGCAAGGTAGAGATTAAGGTACCTTTTTGCATATGGATGTCCAACTGTCATTCAACAAATATTAATTGATTTGGACACAAATAAATATGAACAGTTTCTGCCTGTTAAGAATATCCTGGGATGCTGTAAAAGAAAAACATCTAGAAACCAAATTGCAGCATGGTATGTTGGGTGGAATTATAAGCATATTTAGTTTAATATTTAGATCTTGGCTCTACCACCATCCTGGCACCAGGGTTCAATAAATGGTGGCTTGTATACTTCTTGAAGCATTTTAGGTTGAGTCTAGTGTATGTAGCAGTATGCTAGACATTAAATGTTGTTCCAGAGCAAAGGCTATCTTGTTTAATATTCTGTCCCTTTTGCCTCTCACTTAAGAACCCAGGTACATTTGTTGGATGAAAGGTTACAGTTAAAATTGTAGTGCAGAATTATATGAATTGATTATCTGACACATGAGGAAAAGGAAAATTGTGTTTCCAAAAGATTCCCATGTTATTTTTGTTAGGCTTTTGCATCTTCAAACCAGTAATGAGTAAGTCAAGCAAAATTTGTGTTTCCACTGTGTGCTTGTTATTTTAGAGCAGTGGTTCTCAACCTTCCTAATGCTGCGACCCTTTAATACAGTTCCTCATGTTGTGGTGACCCCTAACCATAAAACTATTTTTGTTGCTACTTCATAACTGTAATTTTGCTATTGTTGTGAATCGTAATGTAAATATCTGATATGCAGGATGTATTTAGGCGACCCCTGTGAAAGGGTCGTTTGACCTCCAAAGGGGTCGTGACCCACAGGTTGAGAACCGCTGTTTTAGAAGCTCAAACAAAAGGAATTGAAATTTTGTAAGTCAAATATTGGCAATTTCCTAACACTCAATCCAGCGGTCACCACCATTGGTGGTCTGTGAGGTCCGAAAGGTTGGGATCCGCTGACTCAATCCACTTAAACCATTATATCATTCTTCCTCCTCCCTCTTTGCTAAACTGCTGTTTCCTGTTTCTCCATTGGGCAAAAATAAAAATAAGATAAAATAGACTAAAGGAACACTTTTATTGAATAGATTAAATACCACATGCTAAGGCACTTTTCTTAAGAAATGGTTCCTCTAGCCCTTGAGAAACTTACAAATGAATAAGGGGTCAGTGTAAACCAGTGATTATAATGTTTTGTGATAATTATAATAGAAGAATATAGTAGGTAGCATGGTGAGATAATTTCTATTATGGCTCCTGCCTGTCAGCCCGGGAATAAAAATGGAGCTCTTTAAGCAGAAAAATGTAAGTAGTCATTTGATACTGTTTTATGGGTGTGGATTTCACTATCTAAAATAATTGATGTTAGATGAATTACTGCCATGAGGTAAAACATTTAAAAGAATACTGTAGGGGGAAACGTGCTATTAAACTGTCAACTTCTAATTAAGTCAGTATTCTATTTATCCGTCATAGCAGTGTGACTTGTGGATAGATTAGCGTACTTGAGAAATAATTGTTGAAATTTATTAAGTAGCATTTTTAGAAATTCAGACGCTTAAGTCTATGTTTTATACCTTTACTTAAATGTTTTAAGTCACTTTTTAATCTTTTTTTTCCACTTTTTAATCTTGATCATCATAATATCCTCTATAATTTCTCAGAGTTCAAGGGTATGAGCATGGGCTTCATAGAAGGTTTTATAAAAACTGGCAAGCAGATCTTGGCTGGTTTGGATACTTTTCTGCCAACTACTTTTTGAAATAGTTCTTGACTTTTATTTTTAGGCATCAGAGAATCTGAGAGCTCTGAAACTTGGAAGTGTATAATATGCCCTCTTTTTTTGCATACAATTTGACTCAGAAGGAGAACACTTTGTTTAATCACAACTATGCAGGATAAGATAAAATGCGAGACCTCAAATACCCGCACTGGGTTATATTTTGGTCCAATTCTGCCATTTATCAGTTGGGATTATCTTAGGCATGTCCCTTAAACACTCTTTGTTACCTTATAGGGTTGCTTTCAGGATCACATGTGGTCATGAAACACAAGTGTTTAACTGCAAAGCATATGTAAATTGTTAACTAGTATTTTAGCTGAAGTCACACAGTTGTTATTGGTATTAAACTAACACTAGTTACTTTTCCTAGTTTTTTAAAAAAGATGTCTTTTAATATATTTTTATTTAAAAATACCTTATCAGCCCTGACCGGTTTGGCTCAGTGGATGAAGCATTGGCCTGCGGACTCAAGGGTCCCGGGTTCAGTTCCGGTCAAGGGCATGTACCTTGGTTGCGGCACATCCCCAGTTAGGGGGTATGCAGGAGGTAGCTGATCGATGTTTCTTTCTCATCAATGTTTCTAACTCTCTATCCCTCTCCCTTCCTCTCTGTAAAAAATCAATAAAATATATAAAAAAATTAAAATACCTTATCAGCGTTTCTTTTAATAGAGTAAGTCAAACTAAAGGGAGAGGGAGCGAGAGATAAAAACATCAATCATGAAAGAAAATCATTGATCAGCTGCTTCCTGCACACCCCCTACTGGGGATTAAGCCTGGCACCTGGGCACATGCCCTGACCAGGAATCAAACTGATGGCCTGGTTCATGAGTCAATGCTCAACCACTGAGCCACACCGGCCAGGCAGTTGACTAGTGCTTTTGATTACACAAGTCAAATTCTGATACTTAAAGCTAGCAATATAAGAAGTCATAAAAGTATTAGGTCAACTTTGTCATATGCTATTTCAGATGCAGTGTATATGTCTATACACCTGACTGCTTGCTTTATCCTTCGGTTTAAATGAATATGCATTTGAAATTGTCTTTTCTTAGATGGAGATGGAGATGGAGATGGAGCAACTGGAAAGAAGAAGAAAAAGAAGAAGAAGAAGAGAGGACGTTAGTGTCTTAAGTTAATCTTACTTGACAAATTAGAAGTGGTTATTAAGCAGTGGGTTTGAAGTTGCTTAAGATCTTGGGATATGTCAGGGAAATAAATTTAGGCTTACTAGAGGTAGGATTTAGTGATATAAATATTTTGCAAGTATTTTGGTGTAACAGTATTGATGTCATTTTTTTTTAGCTGATATTCAGGTAAGGGTTATTAATAATAGATTGGTTGAAGTTACTGCAGTTAGGGATGAAGTCTTAAAATCTTGAATAATTCAAATAATGAGTCTGTTGGGGATGACTAAAGTACCACTATGTGGTAACAGGGTAAACAAATTTTGCAGTTCAGCTGCCAGCTTTGAAATTGTGAAATTCTTAATATTTAATGAAGAGCCCCATTATTTAAAATTTGTGCATATGGTGAAATTCTATTAATAATGTTTATATTACACTTATTTCAGATTTACTTAAAATATCATCCTACTTGTGTTTGTTTTTGAAAATGGCATAATCAAACATCTTCAGGGACCTAAAACTCTATTAGGCAGACTAAAGAGGATGACTAAAGAGTATTGGGGAATAAAAGTTGGGTTGAAAATCAGAACAGTTATTATCTTAGACGAGCCAGCCCCCTTGAACTATTGGGAGCCACTGAGTTCTGGTTATATCTTTTAAATCTTTCAGGCTAAAATTTTATGAATCAGAATATTGGGGACTTGACTTCCCTTTTTATCTCTGTGTTGCAAGAAATACTTAAATTATTGTTTAAGAAAGATAATGGCTCTGCCAGCCATTTTCCTGATATGTCTCCAGGTAGAGATGGGATAGTCTTCTTCCTATTAGGCATGCAGCCATGTTAGATCCTTCTATTCAAAGATGTCAGTCCTGCCCCTAGTGTAGTCTGTATTTAATGAACATAGGTTACTTGTATTCCAGAAATCTTCTAGAGATTATGATATCACATTTCTTTGATTCAAAAATTGTTAAAAGTGTGCCCGTGAGACATGTATTACCTGACAATGGCTTGAGATAATATCTATTTCTCTAAATACTCTAAAATTGTTCCCTAGTGAAGGTACATAAACGGAGAGGAGTGTTAAGGGGCTGCCTTGTATTTGTTCTTGGTAGAATTCTTCCACTGCCACCAGCCTTTATTGTGCCTCCTCTGAGGATATTGTTGAACTTACTGTTGTTATATTTCTTTATGAGCACTCTCAAGAGAGAGTTTTTTGTCTGGTCTTAATGTTAGGAATGATTGCGCTTTTCCTGAGTAATGACTGTTTCATCTCAGAAACATGAACTATGCAAATAACCTAGAGTTTTTTTATGTTTTATTTTTTATTTTTTTATTCTAGAAGGCCTAGAGCCAAATCTGTGGTTTTGTATTGGCCTCATTTCAGGTTCTGTTTTATGTTCTTACCATGTTTTGATTTTTGCTCTCTCATTTACTTTGATGCCTCTAATTTGTATATTTTAGATATTCTTGTAGACCAGTGGTTCTCAACCTTCTGGCCCTTTAAATATAGTTCCTCATGTTATGACCCAACCATAAAATTATTTTCGTTGCTACTTCATAACTGTAATGTTGCTACTGTTATGAATCGTAATGTAAATATCTGATATGCAGGATGGTCTTAGGCGACCCCTGTGAAAGGGTCGTTCGTCCGCCAAAGGGGTCACGAACCGCTGTTGTAGACTATCATTAATCACTTCTGGAATAAACCAAGTAATGTACAAGGGCAGTTTATTATCCTCATCTAGAAAGTGAGAGAATTATAAGTAATAGTTAATGATAACTGTAGTACAGATTATTTTAATTATCCATTGTTTTGGATCAGTGGTCAGCAAACCGCGGCTCTTTGGCCCTTTGAGTGTGGCTCTTCCACAAAATACCACATGCGGGCCCGCACATACAGTGCAATTGAAACTTCGTGGCCCATGCGCAGAAGTCGGTTTTCAGCCTGGACGAGCCTATTTTGAAGAAGTGTCGTTAGAAAAAGTGGAGGGTGTCGGTCGGGCGACTAGAGACGCAGCGCACCTGGGCCACGGGATACACAGCGCGGGGGAGGTACATTGTTTTGGGGTACGTTCGCTGAGGTCGACCCCTTCCAACTTTCCTATCCACACTCATCTATCTGAAACAAGTATACAAGACGAGTGTGGATGGGAGAGTTGGAAGGGGGCGACCTCAGTGAACGTACCTCAATCAGATTGAGGACGTTTTTAGCAAAGGCCAGCTTAGGAGCACCCTAATTAAGTTAATAACAATGTACCTACCTATAAAGTTTAAGTTTAAGAAATTTGGCTCTCAAAAGAAATTTCAATCATTGTACTGTTGATATTTGACTCTGTTGACTAATGAGTTTGCCAACCACTGTTTTAGATAATTGAATATAGTACATTATAATTTTCAAAGGTTTTTACAAAATTTCATCTGGTTTTTCATCTTGTAAGTAAGGAAACAGGCTTGGCACATTTAGCCATTTGTCCAAGTCACAGCTAATAAGTGGTAAAAGCTAAACTTCAACTCTGATTGATATTTTGATTATAGATTTTTTATGTTTTCTCTAAATATCTCTTTAAATCCTTTAATTTGTGGACAATATAAAAAGCATCTTTATCAGATTTGTAGGTGAGATGAAGCTGAGGGTGATGAGATAATACTTTGGTTCAGCCAAAATGAATGTTGGGAAGATATTGACTGCCTCTATTGTCAGGAGCGCAGTGCCAAATGTCAGGAGTTTAAAACGGGATTATTCAATTTTAGTGTAAAGCTAAATTAGATGACCTCTAAGATTTTTTTAAATTTTAAATTCTAATATTCTCTCTTAGGAGAAACATAAGAAAATGTCTTCAAGTTTACTTGCCCATAGAACCCATTTAAGCCAGTTGGCTGACAATCATGATATTGAGCATTTGGGTTAAAGGAGGAAACCAAAAAAAGTGGTTTCATAGATAAATAATTTGGTTCAATAAACAATAATATTTTTATTTATGCACATTATTTTTCTCTCCTTGCAGAACAAAAGAGCAAAATACGTGTTAAAACTTTAAAAGATCTATAACATAAGATCAGTAATAATCCAAAGGAAACCACATACTTCAACTTTGTTGATAAATGCTGCAGGTATACATTGAAGGTCATAAAATAACCCATGCAGCTTTCTGGCATTCCTTGGATACAGCATTTTTTACTAAAGGCAGTTCTTCATGTGATAAGAACTATAGTTCTTACATATATTTGGGGGAAAATTTTAGAAAACAACTTTCTTAGCTATCTTTTATAAGCATCTTGAAGCTCTACTGGCGTGGCTCAGTGGTTGAGTACCAAACAGCCTATGAACCAGGACATCACAGTTCGATTCCTAGTCAGGGCACATGCCCAGGTTGCTGGCTTGATCCCCCGTAGGGGGCATGCAGGAGGCAGCCAATCAGTGATTCTCTCATCATTGATGTTCTCTCCCTTTCCCTTCCTCTCTGAAATAAATAAAAATATATTTTTTAAAAACCAAAACAACAGAACATCAAAGCATCTTGAAGCACTGGTGCTTTAGTACATAGTTTGGGAAATACTGTTCTCAAAACATGCTAGGTGTTAACTTTTTTTGAGTATCGGGAAATTTGTGTATGGCTACCTAAAGTCTTTGGGTACTGGCACTGAGTATGTATACTCTTAACTTTATACCTATTATAACCTTGAAGTAAGTTTTTAAACTTGTTTTATTAACATACAACAGCTTTATATTTCTACTTTATTGCTGTAAGATTTCTTATTTTCTTGTTGCTGCTTTTATTTGTATTTGTGAAAGCCAACCTCTATATGCTATCCCATTTCCAGTATAGTAAATGAAGACAAACATTAGAAGTGTGCTTTCTTCCAAGGTATATACTGTTTAAATATATAATGGAGTCTTGAGGAATTGAATATTTTTATTCCCAAGCTATAGTAAATCAGAGAGGAGGTGACCACCATGGTATTTTTAACTATAAGGAGACAAACATCAAGGAGGTTCTTTAAAATCAGCACATACAACAT